ACCCGCCGTGCCAGGCCACGACGTCGAACGGTGTGTGCGCCTGCGCGGTGACAAACAGCCCATTGTTGAACTTGGCCGTGACCTGGTACCCCGCCCCGCCCCGCTGGTGATCCTCATCGAAACACGCCCTCGGCGCCATGAAATCCCGCGCGTTCGCCAGCCCGTTGCTCCCAATGGGCCCCAGCTCCGGCAGCCCAAAATGCCCCTGCCACAGCTCCAGCGCATACCCTCTCGCATTGCCGCCCACCTCGACCCGGAACCGCACCCCGCGGGGGATGACGCAAATCTCCATGGGCCGCACCAGCAGCCAGCCAAACTCGGTCCGCACGTCCAGCGCGCCCTCCTGCGGCACGATCAGCAAGTCGCCATCGGCGCTGTAGAACGCCGCCGCGGCCGCCATGCTCGCCGAGCACGCGTACACGAACATGCCCAGCCCCGTCTTGAGCGTCGGGTCGCCCGCGGCCGCGAGGCGGTGCAGGCCCGCGACGAAGTCGGTGCCGGGCGGCGCGTGGTCGAAGGGGTCCCAGCGGAGCTGGTTGGGGATGTAGTGCAGCTTGTCGTCATCCTCGTCGGAGATCGACGATGAGGGCGCCGGGGCGAAGGGCGGGTGGGTGCACGAGGGCAGGATGCGGTAGAGCCATGACTGTTTGTTTTCGTGGCGGGGCGCGGTGAAGGCAGTGCCCGAGAGCTTCTCAGTGTAGAGCCCTAGCGGGGGCTTTTGTGGCGAGTTGTGGCCGATGGGGAGGCCGCCCGGGACGGCTTCGGATCTGAGGTTCAGGGTGGGTGAGAATGGGCCACTGAGAGAGAGAGAGAGGGAAGGGGAGGGGGCTTACTCGAGGTAAGAGTCGAAGCCGTTGAGGTAGCGGTACTTTTCTTTGACGTCAAAGGTGGTGACGGGCATCTTTACGGGTCATGGAATGGGGTTTGGATGGAGAGAAAAGACACGGCAGGCACAGATTCACAGGGCGCGCCATCTTATGAGCCCTCCAAGCTCTGGCCAGCCAGTAGTTCCAAGTTATTCCAACTCCCGATCAGACCGCCGGGAGGACACACAGGCAAAGCATTGTGCCGTCATGGTGTCGGTTCAGCGCGAAAATGTAGTGTAAGCTTTCGACCATGGCCGCAATTCCGCGCTGGCGGCCATCAAATGCTGCTGCTGACGCCGACAGTAGCCGAAGCTAGGCGCCGCTCGTCGCCCGCTCGCTCCAGTACCACCATCTCTGTTTGGCGCAAGATGGGACGACGGATCCACATTGAAGGATAGGAGCGATAAGCCAGACGACAGAAACACGAGCTGGCAATCCGGGGCCGATGCCTTGGCACGGGACGACGAAGAGCAAATGTTTCAATCGCTGCAGGTACCGCTCAGCCGGTATACCGTCATCAACAGCCCGGACACATCCGCAACAGCCACCGTCCACAGCGACCCCGCTTTGCCCATCGCACCGCATCAAAACAGGCAGATGTCCCGGGAGCCGGGAGCGACCAAGACACAGACATGAGACACTCATGACCAAAAACAAGCAGTTGGCTGGAGACGTTGTATATTTTGGCAGATGGCCTCAAATCGCCCCAGCTCCGTCATCATCGTAACAGCAGCAGACGAGTGCAGGCTCAAGCTAAAGCCGCCCCGCCGCCCAAGAAAGCAAAACATGTTTGTTCTGTGTCCGCCAACCATCCCAACGGGACCCGTCCCGTCGGGCAGTGCTACAAATCTATCGCAATATCCCGGTCTACCGGATTCGACAGCATACCGTGAGCCGAACACCGGAGAGCTACATTACGTGCCAGATATTGAGATTAGATCAATGTCTGCGGTGGCTTTCATTACTCGTCACCACCCTTGTTCTTCTTCTTCTTCCCGCCGCCCATGTTGGACTTCCCGGCATCCTTTTGTAGGTGCACCACTAGCCGTGTCCACGACTCCTCCTTGTCCCACTCGAACCCTGCCAAGTACGGCAGCTCTAGCTCATCGTCGGCCTTGCGCCAGTCTGTGAGTATGTCGTCTGCTGATGCGATGGAAGGGAGGCAAGCTTACCCGCTTCTTGAACTGCTTGTAGATGGCATCTAGTGCATCCTTGATTGTGACTCCCTTGAGGTTCCTTGCCGTTACCTCGAGCCCCAGCGGGAAGTGTAGGTCAATCTTCTTGATCGGTGGTGTTGTGAGCATCTTCTTGAGGTATTCCTTGTCTTCTACCGTCGAAGGTGACGTGTTGATCTTCCATCCCAGCATCTGTGTCTCTTTGGCGATATGCAGGTCAATCTGTTGAGCCTCTGTTGTGGCAACCAGTGTTAGTGAGGGGCCTCCGAGACATCCGGGCGGGGTAGACGTACCGAGATCGAGGATGTTCATTACGCCATTGGCGCTTGAACTCGCTCGCCTGTGCTTGAAGCCCTCCTTGGGAGGTGATGAGGAGATGCCTTGGACGGCGGAGTCGACCTTGGTGAGTGGTTCCGACATGTTTGGTGGTGTGTGTTCGTGCTAGTAGCTAGACTGGTAGTAGCTGTGCTAAGAGGTGGCCGGCAGGTGTGCTGCAGGCTGCTTGGATGGTCAGTTGTCGTCTTTTCGAGCAGAGACAGGAGGGTGATGGAAAACAGGTGATGGGTGATGGCCGAGGGGGATGGGGAAGACATACCTGATTGCTGGGGCTGGGTGAGTTGATTGATGATGGATGCAGGTTTGTAGGACAAAGAGAGGGGTTGACGGGAAGTTGACGGCAAAGGTCGGGGAGCAGCTTTGATTTGAGGGCGGCCAAGGGGGCCAGAAGGGAGGCAGGACACAGCTGATGCAGCAGATCGAGCGGTTCCTGCCTCCTGCCTTTCGAACTGTTTCGTCAGACCGGGCGGGGTAATGCCTCAAAGATCACGTTGACTGTTTGGGGGGATCGCGTGACAAGTACATCGTCATGGCACGACGCCGCCGGCGAGCCACAGCCTGGCCTCACCTTGCCATGTACCCCCTACCTTGGCCCGGGCGTCGTGCATTGACACGGCGCCTCGGCGAATCGCAGTGCTCAGCAGAGTCTGGGGAAAATCCGGGGTAACTAGCCCAGCGACCCACTGCGGTCCCGCCACCACCTGGACCCGAAACAGGTCCCAAAATGACGGCGAATGCTATCAATTGCGTGTTAAGAGCCAGCTGCTCAAGGTAATTAGGTTTTGGCAATTTTCCCGCTCGATGTGGTGGTTTTGTTTGCAGTGCACGCCCGCGAGAGGACTGCAGAGTGACAAGGACGATCGCAGCTGGCCGTTGCCATCCCGTCCGCCCCAGCTGGCGGCGGGGGCGCTGTTGAAGTGGGGTTTCTGGCTGGGTGACTGGGTCGCTGACTGCGGGCTTGCAAACATCAATCCACTCTGAGTCCACGGGAGCTTTCCCATGCACGGGCATCAGACGCGAGTGACGACACAGCATTCGACAATGCTTCGAGCTCACAGTCCGTCGCTTGTCCGCCGGGATGCATTGAGCTTGGGGCAGATCAAGTCGCATCCGCATACTGCAGCCAGCGGAACCAAACACTCTTCAATGGAAGCAGCATTCCAGCCCAGCATCCACCATCCAGCATCCAGCATTCCCCGCACCGCCCCTGGAGGAAGCACTGGCCATCCAATTGCAAAAGCAATCCGTGGCAAGGAAAGCGGAGCGGAGGAAGCCAGGCGCTCTCATCCTTGGCGATCTCAACGACCACTCTGAGTCCTGCCATTCATTCAGTCAGGTCCGGTCCTTCCGTCTGGAACCAAAACCAAGCAACGTCAGGCAACGTGAGACAGCCCGAGACTCATGTTACCGGTTCCTGACAGAGTCCCGCCGAGTCTGTGACGTCCTCTATCGCGTCTCCCCAACGCGGTCCGATAAGCTTCATCCTTAGCTCGCTAGCCAATTCTCTGTAGGTGTAGCCCCCTTTGTCGAACATGCATCACCGAAATTGGGTTAGACAGGCGCACGGGTTGCGACAAGGCGTGCGACGCATTTGTTCAGGTGATTGATGACCAGAGTCGCCACAGCCGGTACAGCATATTGGCTGGGAGTACCGCTGCTTTCCTAGAGGAGTTCCGAAAGCTCCGGATTCCAACCTCCCTGTCGTGGTCGCTGTCGGAAGCATGTTGGTACGGTCGTGATTCCATAGCTAACAGACTTGGCTGGAAGATCGTATGCCGTCAACAATATCCATCCTAGAGATCATTTTCGGAGGAATCATTCAGGACGATGCGGCCTGTCGAAGCGGGGGGATGTTAGAACAAATGCGGCGGAGGGCGGGCATGGGCATGGGGCTGAAGCAGCAATGGGCACTGACCTTGCTCACACGAGCCGCAGAGAAGCTATTGGTACCTACTCCGCGGGATTTCCATGCAGCTAGAACATTAACTGGCAGTTGTTCCGTCGTACTGGGTCGGCAGTGGGACTAGCAGTCGCGATATCCTCCAATTGACGGTGTGCTGGCTGAGTGGGCCTCGCAAAATTGACAATTCGACATCGATTGTGGGGCTGGTCTGTGCTGTGCCCACACACGGTCCATGCTGGAAAGACGCTGCCAAGACATCGAACGGCAGGTGAATGCTTCACCAACTTGAACCTCATCTTCGAGACCTCTGCCGTGTGCGGCAGTCTTCAGGTCGAGTTTTTAAGGGTTCAAAGGCGCGCTATCGGCAAGGAAGGACAGTTCAGAATGGCCCCACAAAAATTATGCCAGCTATGCGCGCCGAAAATGGCAAGACGCGAGCCCATTTGCACGACGGCAACATATTGTGGACGGAATGGCATTTCGTGGAACACATTCCAAATTTTGGAACGATATTCAATCCAAAACATAATCCTCCTTCATATTCCGCGCTCACTTGCTAACATGATAACCCAGGATTCAGGAACATGGCAGGAAGCCCAACCATCGCAACCAATGAACCATGACTCGTCCTCCTAGCCCACCCCAGCTTGCAACATGGACCACACCGCTTCCGGACTCCTCTCGGATCCATTTTGCTTACACACTTTCATCAATTCAACAGCGCCAGTGGTTTAGTGGTAAAATCCATCGTTGCCATGAAACAGCATATTCGATGGGCCCCGCGTTCGATTCGCGGCTGGCGCAACGCTTTTTTTGCCTGTGGCGTTTGAGTCACCGCTTTGATGGGATGGGCGGTGTACCTGCTGCAGATGCGTGCTCTCTGCGAACTTTTATCCCCCTCCCTCGGTTTAGAAGGAGAGGAAATGGCTGGCTGCAAGTTTTCGGTTAGATCATCTTGATCACCCGGTGGAGCAAGGTCGGTCTGCCAGCGGCTGGTTTAGCCTTGAAATTCAGGGGTCCCACCAGGAACAACAGCAAAACCGCAGGAGCCGAAGGCATATGGTTGGTGATATCTCACTATTGAACAAGAAACAAATGAGGTCCGCTGGCTCAATGGTAGGGCGTCTGACTACGAATCAGGAGGTTCTAGGTTCGAGACCCGGGTGGATCGACTCGTCCCCGTGGACCATGTCCAGGTGGTTTGGGAGAGCTTCAATTCTCGCATTCCTTTCTTTTTGCTGGTTTTCACTCTCAAGTATGCGTATTGAGGGACATGCGTCATGGTATTGAGAAGGTGTCTCTAAGGTATCGCCCAAATCGAAGAAAATATGAAGTTGGTGGCGTTTATACACAACTTGAACCCTCCCAGAAACAGCTACCGGGCCTCCATATCCATGGGTTATGCTAGCTACTCGCGATTCAGACATGTATCAATACCCTCACCTCTCAAAACTCACTCGGAACTTTCACCCTCCCTCTACGCAGCCGGCGCCTTCAACCCCGACACCCCCTGCTGCTGCTCCAACTCCCTCGGCGTCTGCAGGTTCGGCGGAACCTCATGTGGATATCCCGCGCCCTGCTGCGGCTGGGGATACCCCCCCATCTGCTGCGGCGGCGGGTAGTAATAATACGGCTGCGGCTGCGGCTGCGGTTGCTGCGACTGATACGCCCCTGGCCCCTGCCACACCATCCCCGGCTGCCCCGCCGGAGCCGGAGCCGCGACGCCCATGCTGGGCACCCACGCGGGCGCGGCCCACTGCGGCGGCGGGACAGACCACAGGCCCTTTTGCTTGCGCGCGGCGAGGGTGAAGAGGAGGACCAGGACGACGAACATGCAGACGGCGTCGAAGAGGGGGCCCACGGTGAGGGTGACGTAGGGCGGGATGAAGGCTTGGGAGGGGTCGAGGAAGTAGCGGGCCGTGATTATCATGAGGCAGAGCAAGCGCAGGGAGGCGAGGGCGGTGGAGGCGAGGAGGAGGATTGCGGGCTGTCACGGGGTTAGGGGGGGTTTGGGAGGGGGTGGAGGTGACCGCTTACGTCGTGGAGGGGGGGGTGGTTTTTGGTTTGGTGGACGACGAGGGAGGCGTAGCCGATTGCTGGGAGGGAGGCGATCCAGAGGAGGATGTCGACGGCGGCACCCAGGCGGTTGGACGTGTTGGCTTCGTTTGCGAGCTTGACTTCGATCGCGGAGTCGACGCCGGGGAGGGCGAGGTAGTCGTAGTAGGTGCTGTAGAACTGTTCGCCGGTGCCGAGGTAGGCGATGGCGAGGGCAAAGACTAACAGAGCGAAAGACAAGATGGCGTAGCGCAGGCGCTTCTGAAGAGGCGGGGGCGTGCCGCCGTTGAGGCAGAGAAGGAAACCGTTGCTGAGCTCGAAGAAGGCGATGAGCAGGAGGATGTTGGCCAGGTACATGAAGAGCCTGGCAATATCGTAGAAGCGGTCGCTGGCTTGGGAGACGGCACGAGAGATGGTTGTAAAGTCGGAGCGCGAGCTGAAGACGTCGTTGTCATACTCGACCAGGTACGTCCACAGTCTCAGAGCATAGCCAATGGTGTGAAGAACGAGGTAGCTGGGAAAGTCAGTTGATTTGATGCCAAAGGGGCGACGGCCACATCTCACAGTATCCAGAGTGGATAGACAGCCTTGATCCAGGCAATCCCGGCGCGGGCCGGGTCCCCCTTCCGGCGCGCGATGCACAGGCTTATACACCAGAGGATGAAGAGAGGGGTGACGAATATGCCGTAGAGCACAATGGCGCCGACTGTGTAGTGGGCGTATGTGTTCCCGTCTGGAATGCCACTTGAGCCAATATCTGACATTGTAACTGCCACGGCGAATAGGGGGGCATTGCCAGGAAGGGTGGATGCAGCAAGCGAAGCAGGCACTCAAGATGAGCAATTGGTGTTGGCAGACAACAGCTGAGGGGAGCGACGGTGTTAAAGAAGGAGAATACTCCCTACCTTAATTAAGTCGATCGGTATGATTCAGAGCGTCATAAAACAGACTGCGCCAGTGCGGTGCCCTACCGCCTCGGCAACAGACATGGGAATGTTTCGTATCCCGGGCCCTGGATCTCAACCATGTTGAGAGGCCATAAGAACGGCATAACGTCGATCCGCTGCTTTTCTTGGCGTGCGATTGGTTGGTTTACATCATGGCCCTGGCTGGTGTTTTTGACGCGCCGTCAAGGATGTCGTGGGGAGGGTAGTCTGGGTGCCACCCCGGCTGGTATGAAGGGGTTCAGCTTGACATTTATAGAAATCGGTATTTCACACCCTTGCACAGAGCCCAGCAATTATAGTCCCCGTGAAGCCTTGCGATCCTCACGCACCCCGGTCATCCACGGTTACTTCCACTTATGGTCAACGACGACGTTTTGACACGATACCTTGACATTGGACTCGGATGCAAGGTTTGTTTCCAAGATGATTAACAGTCATAACTCAACACGACGCAGTTGATGTATCATACGGATTACAACCACAACGCTGAACAAGGTAGTTCATGTCGAGCACAGGAAGACTTATAATGGAACCATAGAGTTAAATGAGGCGTAAAATCTCCACTACCTACACACTACCTACACTGAAGGGAAAATTTTACATCTAATTAGCTGGGGTCTAAAGTGAAGTGCTCGTCAGTTTTGTAAACGTGTCGCCGTAAAAGCAATATCGCTGCAATTTTAGACCCTACGGAGCTATTTCAACGTGGACTTTGCTTGTCTATTTTGTGGATTTTGGAATTTGGTGTGCTCCATTACTTACTAGAACCACTGTAGTTTAGGCCCATCAGAACCTGCTAAAAGTGCAGTGCTTGCAGCGGTGGGTATACTCTGCCTCAAAGCACCAGACTGCATCATTAGCGTAAATAACAAAATTGTGTTGAGTAGACGCTGGGTCTAAAATTGCATTGTTTACGGTAGCCGGTCGCCCCTTTTTATTGTACGGGAAGGTTGAAGGGTATATTGGCATCACATCAGCGAGCTCAGCATGGAATATATCCCAAATTAAAGAAAATATCAGGCATACTTGCGTAATGTCACGCAGAGCAGAGCTTTCCAGAACATAAGCGTAGAGGGAGAAGAGTGTACTGGAATTCAGTAAACCATTAGGTTGATGTTTATATTCATCGCCTACAGCTCCTATACAGTTTATCATATCAACTGAGCCAAAAGCTGCCCGACCTACCTGCCGAGATATCGTTTGGGCCCTCACGCTAGCCCGGCTCATGTACATATTGTCTGTTGTCCGAACAGACTTAGACCCTTTGCTAGTAGCCACATAGCGTACCGGGCAGCCGAGGGAAATGGACTCCGGTTCGGAACCCAGCACATGCTGACTCAATCTCGCGGTCGATGCTCCGTGATTAGGTCTGCAAAGACGATTACCTGTTGCTATTTCTTGACCAATTCTCACCAGCTTGGCTCATTGGCCTACCAGCTAACGAGAGGCCACTTTTACATGGAACAATTGTGTAAGCCCCGGTATCCACTGACAAAGACTGGTACGGAGCCTCTAAGCAGGCCGCGTGCTACATAGTATCGACTTGCGAAGCGGACCCCCGAGTCTAGGCGTGGTTCGAACAGGCCAGAAAAACGGGACAGATGCAATGCATGCTTGATATGCCCCAGATGTCGCCTAGCTTGCATGCAATGCGCAGACGATAATGGCATATAAAAATCTGGGATAGGGCTGAGCTGTCCTGTCGATATTGTCACAGGCAGCGGCAAAATGCGAATTGCCTCGTCAGGTAAAGGAGTCCCCGCCAGCGGTTTTCTCCATCTTTCTCCTAATAGGGAATAGCTGCGGGCGATTTGGGTCGGGAATTCGGGGATGTCGACGGTCGACCCCTCCTTTGGAGCTCAACTTTGCGGGGCAGCGGTCTCGCTGTTTGTCAAGGCCATTGTCAAGGGCCTGGCGATGGCAACCACGACGGTGGCGATAAGGAGCTAGCGGCCTTATCGTGCATCATTGCGGGTTGACAAATCGGGACATCGAGATCCTTATCAGGCCTTGGCTGGGTGAGCTTGCAAGGTGGGCATGTGGGCATGACGGCGGCATGATGGAATAAATACATGTCGCGGCGCACCCCAAGAGACGGACGATGTAGAAAGCCACACACGCGCACACCTCTGGCTGTCTGAGACAATTCCAGCAGAATAAACAAACATCACCAAAACCCCCTTTTTGGACTGTTACCCCTTACCATCCCCCACCCCTTTCTGCGATCCACCTCCGACACCATGGGAGCCGATCTCCCCCACCCCTTCGACCCCCTCTCCCTAGCCGAGATCGAGGCGGCCATCACCACCGTCAAGAAGGCCCACGGCGATATCTTCTTCAACGTCGTGACCGTGCAGGAGCCGCGCAAGGCCGAGATGACGGCATGGCTCGAAGCCCCCGAGACCGCCCCCCGGCCAAAGCGCGTTGCCGATGTTGTTGTCATCGCCCCCGGCGGAAAGGTGTATGACGGCCTAGTCGACTTGGCCGAGCCCAAGATCACCAAGTGGGAGCTTCTCGAGGGCGAGCAGCCCATCGTAAGAGCACCCCGAACAACACCGGGACCACCGGCTAACGCAGCCAGATCACCATGGAAGAACTGCAACTCGTCGAGCACATTGCGCGTAAGGACCCCAAGGTGATCGAGCAGTGCGTCATCAGTGGCATTCCGGTCGAGGACATGCACAAGGTGTACTGCGACCCGTGGACCATCGGGTACGACGAGCGCTTCGGCAGCGGTGTGCGCCTGCAGCAGGCCTTCATGTACTACCGCCCCGACGTCGACAGCTGCCAGTACCAGTACCC